ACTACGCATTGGAAAGGGGTCAGCCCGGTGGTGTCCTGGCGAAGGGAGTTCTGGGCGTACTCGGCCCAAGGGAGGAAGTGGCTCCAGCTGTGCTGGTCGTCATGGCAGTATGACCTGAGGTAACGTCCGAGCTCCTGGATCTTACGCTCAGTCTGGCCATTAGTCTGAGGATGGAAGCTGGAGGACAAGCTCACCGTGACTCCCATAAGTCGGAAGAAGACCTTCCACACGTGGGAGATAAATTGGGGGCGCCGGTCTGAGATGACCTCCTGCAGAAGACCATAGTTCCTGAATACATGGTTAAACAGGCATTCGGCTGTTTCTAAGGCTGTGGGGAGTCCCTTGAGGGGAATGAACTTGCACGCCTTTGAGAAGTGATCTACTGCTACCAAGACACAGGTTTTGCCGTCAGAGTTGGGGAGATCCGTCACAAAGTCAATTCCAAGATGAGACCAGGGCCGACGTGGGATGGGCAGCGGCACGAGCTTGCGTGACGGGGCGTCTTCGACATGGCACAGACTGAGCAGCTGCGGACATACCCGATGACATCCTGGGTCATACTGGGCCACCAGTACCAAGCTTGGAGGAGCGAGAGGGTCCGTCTGCTGCCTGGTTGTCCAGAGCCCAGAAGGTCGTGCACTGAGCCCAGAAGGGGTTGACGTTGAGACGTGGGAACGTAGTTCTTCCCTTCTGGGCCTCCCAGCGGAGCTGGTTCATGGAGAGTGGCGACAAGGATGTTCTCTGAGAGGTTCCACTGGATGGGACTCACAATGAGGGCTGGAGGGATGATGGGTTCTGGTTCTGAGGGTGATTCCGGAGAGTACAAGCGGGATAAGGCGTCAGCTTTACAATTGCAGTTTCCGGGACGATTGGTGATGGTGAAATTTAACCATGTGAAGAATAATGCCCAGCGGGCTTGACAGGGGTTAAGTCTCTTTGCATCCCTCAGGTACTGGAGGTTCTTGTGGTCAGTGATGACCATGAAAGGATGCTGTGCTCCCTCCAGCCAGTGTCGCCACTCCTCAAGAGCTAACTTGATGGCCA